AACTTTAGGGGAATAGATAAGGAAAACTGGATTTCATATAAAAGGAATATTTACTTTGTAAGGACAAAAATAAACATCAGCATCGTGAATTTTTGTCTTCAAAAAATGTTGCTGTGGCTTATGACAAAGTTGAACGACTTAGGTGATTTCATATGACTAAGTAATGACGATGGGAGGTATAGGTGTGTACGCTGTAGTCATGTGTATTAAAAAATAAAGTGTACTTTCATGCTACACACGTCAGTCAATGAAGAAATGATAAAATAACCGATAGTAGAGGAGGGATGACCTTTCCATTGCACAAATTATTCACCGTCAAGGATAAAGCAATAATATACCTAGCTACTATTAATATTTATGTCAGTTAGCAATCACAAATTGACGCTCCATTAGTCTATTTGTAACAGAGAATTATTTATTCAACTTATCCAACAGGTGATTAACCTGACCTAGCAGCTAACACTTGGGCTCCTATATCTAATGTAAATATTTCAACATCTTTATCTATACTAGCTTAAATTTAAATCCGATATCAGTCAATCTACGGCTCCTTTCTCACGACACCAATTATCGTGCGATGAAGGAGCAAAAACCCAGCTTGTGGTTAATGGCTGACTTGCAAGTAAGTGGTGTCTCAGGTCTCAACGCGGGGAGTCGCTACATAATTTCATTAAGTGTGACTTTGAACTCTTTATAGTATCACAAGAAAGTGCAATTTACATTACCAATCAGGACGAAATCCAGCCAGCCAATAACGAAATTAATAGAAATTACATAAGTACCTACTTTTATTAACAATAAAAATACATATAATTGTAACATGTACTTACTATCATACTAGTTCTTCTTTATCGTAATAAATGCAAACATTGCGATTTCTTAAGAAACTTGTTTTATAAATACTACTTACTCCAATTTTAAATTAGTGCATATAGGTATTATAAAATAACAAAACGCCTTTATTTTTTTATAGATCCACTTTTTTCCAGTTACATACGTTACTAACATTAGACTAGGTATTTCCTAAATCATCGTTAATCTAGTTATTTCCTCGACCGGGCACAACTCCCAACTAAATAACTAACCTAATATAGACTAACAAGTCTAATTAAAGTTGATCTTTTAAGACTCTCGCTTAGGTTAGTAAGAATTGACGTTCTGGTGCATCTTAACAGGAATTCTTACGACAGAATTGTCATGTCACTTAATACACGCTTGATAGGCCAGGCGGACTATAAGTTCCCCGTGACCCGGTTAGCAGTAAGCAGGCCAGTCTCTGCCGGTACTCGCAACGACGCCGCCGTTATCTCGACTACTTCACACATCTGCACTCGGATCATGCTAATTCCTGCAGATTTCCAAGCAACTTGGTTATCGATACAATTTCTAGGAATAGGATTATCACTGTCTAACACTACGGAATCAGATCCAGTTAGTAGTAGTAACGAGATTAGTAAAGAGAAGACTATTATGCTTATTAACGCAAAAGGTTACGAAGATATTTCTTTGTCTAATGACTAATTTAACAGTATTGTTTCGATATAATACCAACAAAGAATGTGGCAATTAAATGATGATGCATGAATTTTGAGATGTAAAACGTTTTTTAACACAATAGTACCTAGATGTGTAGACGATTACGATTTGAATAATTGCTAGGTCTGCTTACGAGTGGTCGAGTGAAACTCAATGGTATTTGAAGTGAAGCAACAAAAAACTGCTGTAACTATCTATATAATATTCGGAACAGTATCCGACATTTTGTCATGCTTTCTTGGTCGAAGTAACTGTACGTAAGTGTATTTAAATAACGCCAATTATATGAGAGTAAAAGTTTCAAAACTAGTTGTTGGCTAACTTTGATTTTTCGAGGTTAAATTTTAAACTAGCTGAAGTGAAGGACTGGCTTAGCAACTAGCCAGGTACTCCTAGTTGAATAGTTGTTCATACGATGAGCCGAAATAACGCTTACGAAGCCGGCAGCAAAAAAGCTTTTGAAAACGTAAAAAGGGACATTTTCGAGGACAATACAAAAACACGCGTTCAGGAGAAATTACATAAAATTCCGTCGCCTATACTCGCGGGCTGCTTGTGAGTATGGGACTTAAATTTTTGACGGCATATTCCATATTATGTGTTCACAACTCTATTCGGCTTCGAGTTGGCCACAAAGGCGGATGGATCAAGTTTTTCAACTGGCTCGAAGCAATTAGCCACGGCCAGTAGGGTGGAGATCGTAGGCGCGACCCGAGGCGCGGCGCGGGCTCCGCGCAGCCCGATCAATCAGCCCGCACTCTTGTGGTAATTAATTTACTATAGGCCGTGCCCATCCAAGCTCCGACCTATAAGTTCATCAACTGGAATTGGTATCACTCGTCCTCAATTGGCATGCAGGTAGCGCGAGCAGGCGCGAATATCAACTTGTTATTGTCGCTTGATATTGCTCTTTATTAAATTACCCAAGAACGTGTATGCAAGGACGTAGTGCGATTTCTCGTTTTCTCTTTAGTTTACAATACCGATGTATTCTCTCGAGACGTCGGATTTCTCGGAGTTTGTTAACATAAGTTACTTAGTTATTTGTCTGTTTACATCTTAATTTTATAATTGCAATTTACTATATTTATGTACATGTCACTATGTCAGTCATTCAATACCATGGAGGTTCTTTGTCCCTTAGACGGGGTAGAGGGCGTCCACAGAAGACCTTTATCTCGATCGGTCTTGTTTACATTCGATATTTATAAAAATTTTGACTTGATTACTTTTATAAATATACTTTATTTTACTTAGTATAAACATAATTACGATGTATTTGGTATATATAATAGGTACATTTGGTATCCTACTTACTACTAATGTCGTTGATAATGAAAGACGATCAGTCCGAAAATTCTTTTTAGTTATTGCCGCTTTCTACTGCGTGGATCGCTGTTATTCTTAGACAGATAGATAGGTACGTACGGAGTTGTTATGACAATGTGCTATCGTGATTGTCTTGTCACCGACGAGAAATGATGAGACTTGTTACATGCGAAGATGAGCATTTATAAACGAGAGTAAAACGACACTTTTCAGTTAAAAGTAAATCATAGCTGCCTCGAGAGGCTAACACAAAGATTTCTATCTTATTAATATACAGATGGCAGACCAGACCAGAATAGATTAAGACACCCAAAAAGGATTCGAAACAACTAAAATGTTAATGTTAGGAGTTCCTATTTGCATTCAACGGACGTGTACAAGGTAGGACTTAAAGGAGAAGAGCGCGAGGCGGGTTTCAGGGCTCTCGACCGGCGATCAACGCGGTCTCAGAATAATCAGGCGTGCCTCCCCTCGTCGCGGTCGTTCACACACAATCGACACGGCAAGCGCCATGAGGGACCTACCTACGCACGACGAGTCGACACAAAGCATCCACCCATACCTAACAACCGCTACCCCGATGCACGAATGTAGCACTACTTCAGGGCGCTTCACACAGATCCAATATTCTCGAACTCATACCTAGATCCAATGACTTAGAGACGAATATTGCTTGCAAGAGGGAACCACGCGTTCACTACCTCCGCTTCGATAACAGAAATCGAAGTCATCAATATAAAAGCTAGCTAAAGGCGTGAGCAATAAAGCACAGTTTCATTTGAGTGGTGAATTCGTCCGTCCGACGCAATGTGCATTCAATTGCTAGCAACATGAATATTGAAAATCGCTCTTATGTCGTTCACTCTGAATCGAATGCACGTCGCCGGCCGGTTCCAACACCACGTGTTTACAGAAGCCAACTGGTGCAGATTAGACTCGTGAACTGCCTAACTTCAGTGCATTGTAAACTTTTGTAAACTTTTAAAACTTGTTTAGTTCGACGATTGATGAAAATAAAAGCTTTAAAAGGTTTAGTTTAAGTCATAAATGGTCCTGCTCGTTAAATGGAAGATTTGAAATGCAATCGTAGCTTTCTAGGTTTAACGGTTGCATCGTGTTCCGAGGTAGTAAACGAACAGTAATAATTGCTTGGTGCGCTTTACTTATAGACGAGGCGAGGAGCACTCAAGTAGTGACTATACGATACTCAGGGTAACGATACGAATAGCCTTTGTTTCTTGAAATTGCTTTGGGACTTTTCAGAAAGCAGATTAAAGGCTTTAGCAGTTCAAAGTGAGATTATTTGAGCTCTAACTAAAGCAGGTAGGTGGATAAGTAAATAGGTAGGTAGGCAACTATTTGGAAAGTTTCACATGCTACATTTTACTCTCAGAGTTATGGGAGATTGTCGCATAAAACTTTTAAGTGCAGCACTGAGCTATTACGGGTCATAAAATCCAAGTCGATAAGAACGACATTGTATGAGTTTAGTTATTGCAAAATATGGTACTTGGAACATGAATACAAGACCAACTGCCGCGTTGTATTATTCTTCAGAGGAAATATGAATTCAAAATGTGGGTTCCTACTACCTGACTAAATCTTAGCAAACACCTAAAAAGTTACATTGGTAGGCACATAGGCATTTCAATAAGTTACTTTGACGGTGAAGGAAACCTTCGTTGGATCTTTTAAAGTTACAACGTGTCAGCAATGTTTTAATAACCTTACTACTTTAGAGAGTAGGACATGAATTCCGCCCCTAAGGATACCTACTGGCCGAGCATTAACCATAACTAAATAGATACTTTACAATCGAATTAAAAAGGTACCTGCCTACCTGCACAGATGTTGTATTAATTCAGTTAAAATTTGAAGATAGGTACCTATTGTGTTATTTCGGTGAATACCTATCAACTAAACGTAGGTATACAATAGCCGTGTGAAGTCAGATAAAAATCGAAATAAAACCGTATTAGATTCGAAATAAAACAGGTATCAAATTAGTGCAGCAGATCAAGTGCGATTTAAAATCCTTTGTGTGAAGAGACCTACCTACGAATCAAAAACACTACAATTGGTTTGTATGTGACGCGGGCAGTTTGAAAATATAAACAACAACAATATTGACTCACCATACAACACCGAAGGCGCCATAGCCGATAGGGCGGTCGGGTTGCACGTCTGTCGGGATGGCCGGCGTCTGATAGTAGGGCGCCGCTGCCGCCAGGATGGCGCCCTGCGGCGCGCTCTGCGTACCGCCCTGCATCAGCGACATGGACACACTCATGGAGACGCGAGAGTGCCGCGCGGGGCCGCTTACAGCCGCCATCCAACCGCTCAGCGGCGAGCCGTCACCGCAGACTCATCACACGGTGAATCTTACGGCCTCAACACTGCGCCTGATCACCAGCCTTCGCCTCCCAGTGGACACACGACAATATCACCGGTTACTTCTTTATTATTCATGCTCGATTGACTATGCGGGAATCACTAAACAACACACGGAACGTTAGAACACCTGTAGATTACACCAGTTATTTCACGATTGGGCGGGGAGTTTCTGTAGTTGTTACGAGTTATTGTAGAGTTTGCTTCTTCCTGGACAAAGGATGACACCGTGAAAATAAAGTCACGCCGCGTACAGACGTCCACACGTCACGAAAATCGAGCGAAACTGGTTGAAACGAGGGGAGAGGGGAGCTGCGAGGACGCGATCTAAAAAGAGACAGAAAATAACAATGGCGACGAAGCGCGATGAACAGCTGTGCTTTCCAACCAACAAGAATTCCTTTTGTGGAAAATATGCTTGGATTTACGTCTTACAAAATGGTAATTTAAAATCCTAATTATAATAAGCAAACAGTAACGAACCAACTTTATATATTCAAAGAATATTTTTTGAAAATTACAACTTGACAAATTGTTTTATTTTTTTATTGGCGCTAGTAGTGTTGACTTTGTTTGACAAGACGCGATCTTGTCAGGAAGTTCGAAGTTTTAAATTCGAATCAAAACTTTTTTGTACTTTCTAAGTAACTAATACTACCAAAAGGATATTTTTTCCAAGTTTCCAACGCATGAGTAAAATTAGTTAAAATGTTCCTTTTAAGTTTACTTATTTATTTCTGCAGAAACTGTACGTAAGCAAATGCTAAGCTTGAAATAGAAATAACTATTCGTATGTACCTAGTAGGTATTCGTTGAATTTCGGCTTATCCTAGCTGGATAAAAAGTAGATGACCAACGTACAATAACGTTGGCCGTCAATTCTTTCACACGCGACCCACGACGCGGCATTATTTATTTTGTTCTATACTATTTTTTTAAGTTATTCGTATTTCGTAGTTTAGTAGGTAGGAACCTAATGGGTAACCGGGGCTCCGGCTCGACGTGCAGGAGAAGGAACAGGGTGGTTTTTAGTCAGTAAGAGTCTGACACCCCCTCCCGCCTCACCCAGGCGGGAGCAGTCATTCGATGATTTTCCCCCATAAAAAAAGTAGGTAGGTACTTACTTACCTATTTAAAAACAGTAGTAAACTCAATTACGATAATGAATAACTTGTGTGCGTAAATTATGTGAGGGTTTTAGAACAATTCGTCACTCGACTTCGATGTTTGGGGTTTGGTAGTTGGGGATCGCAATTAGGCGACCGAAATATTTAAAGGAAATTGCCGTCTCTCGGTTGCTGATTAGTTTCTGGATATTTTTTAGATATTTATATACTTAGTACGCCAAACGACTATAAGGATCGCCTGTTGGTAAGCAATCGGCGCCGACCATGGAGACCCGTAACACTAGGAGAGTTACCCGGTCGCTACTAACCTTTTGAGAGTTTTAGAGGATTTCGGATAAAGGTAGAGGAGGAACAATTGGGGAGGATAGGGTTAAATAAAAATCCTCAATAATAAATATCAATTATTTTATCACAGAGAATCACATTGTGTTATACAACATATTTACGTGGCTAGTACAAAATATCCCTTACAATGATCCTTGTCTATGCATATACATATTAGTAAATCCTTAAAAGTTTTCAATTATAATGGAAACACTACTACAAAATACTATCTTTGTTCAACAGTTGATTACTGACTGCAGAAAAGTTTTATGAAAAATGTCATGTTATTTAATATTTAAGATGCAATAAAACATTTTACGACAATAATCACTTAATCTGCAGTAGACTTTGCAAGTATACAATGTTGATATAAATTGTTTGAAAGTAATTGCACTAAATTAACAACGAAATATAATTTTATACAATAAAATATGCTGTTATAAACTACAGACAAATAAATACAACACATACAGACACAAAATCTATAATAATATTGCAAATTATTACTATTGAAGACCTTAATTGTAAAATATGACGATATAAAATATTATAGTGCAATAATTAAGTGACAAAAATAATAGTGACTCTAGGGTCCTAAAAATATAAAACAAATGTACAGTCCACTATAATAATGTTTAATGTCAGCTTTGAAAATTTGAAATAATAATATTATTCAGTGAATCTGAATACATATAATTATAGTAGACATTATTATAAGTGACTGTACGCTATATGATTGTTTAACTTGTCTCACCACTTCTTGCATTGCCTCGTTATTTAGATTTCTCTTGCATTATGTATGTACTACTAGAACAAAAAATAATCTCCTAAAAATATGAGCCAGTATATTACGAATTTTGATCTTTCAGAAATGACAATACAAAAGCCCAAACCTGTACATAAATAGGTAAATAAAATAAAGTTTAATATTAGTCAAAGTTAAACTAACATGTTATTGTCTATATACACCTATTTATACATTGGACTGGATTATTTAGAATTCAGTTTTATCAATTTTCACCGTTGATATTGTACACGCTATGGGTAAATGACGAGATCTAGGTTTCAAACGTACATTCGTTCTACATACAATAATATAATTCGTATCAGTAATGTAGGCTTCCAATTACCTCGTACCACATACTCGTACTTACATAGGCCTAATCTGTATAAGACGCGGCTGTACATAACATATTTGCACAAGAAAGTGTACCACAGAAAGGCGAATACACACCGCCTGCGGTAAGTTCTTCTGTAATGCTAATTACAGGTAAATATAAAACCCGTACCAAACGGCCTATGCGCCCCATATATTACTTCAGAATTCTAAAATCGAATACATGTCATAGATACTAGTAAAATTAAGTTACTGGCCTATAAAAAGAATTAACATCGATAATAGTGCAGCAGTCACACACAATTTTGCTGAAGCTTAGTCTATGAATATATGCAACATAATTAATTACCACACAATAAAATAATTATACAAATCCGATTTCTTATATTAGTCTTTTCAATGTACTCCGTTAGATATTTGGCGGCGTATTCTCTATAGCTGGCCTGCACTGTACCAACCTTCGTAATGATTATTGCGATTCCTGGTAAGTACATAAAGTACAAAAAGAATGTAAAGATTGGTGCAGTATAGACTCGGCGTTAGGCTTTTTTTTGAGATCGTCGTTCAATTAGAAAGAAGTGTTAAGGAGCAGCCTATACATATCAGTTCTGCTGCATCACGATTAAGTAATTTGAAGAGTTTGATAGAAAGAAGAATCGTGAGTGAACTCTCTGCTTCCAACTGTTCTTTGGTTTAATTTTTGTGCACAAAACTGTGAATGAACTCCTTAGTATAAGAATTTAGAGTTTGAGCACACATTACAGTTGATACAACTTTATGTAAAATCCCACCATGGCTTTAAGATCGACAAAGTTCTTGTTATAACGTGAAGATATTAAAAACGGTGAAAGTAGTGCTGTGCAACCACATTGACAATTCGGTGCGACATAGTATTAAAAATGTTTAAAATTGCCACAAACCAGTGCAAAGGTAAGAACGTATGAGTATTAATTATTTGTACCTGTTTTAGAGAATATTGCCACACTGGCAGTTTAGAAGACCAGCTTCTTATTTTTGGTGTAAAAAAGGAAACGCATGTCTGCATTATCACTGGCCTCAAACAAGGTCGAGTCTTTGTGAATAAAATATATCTCCTACCCTGCGATTTGGTATTTCATGAGTTCGTCATCTGGTGACCATTTGCGAGAATTCAGTTGAGGTAAAATTTACTGAAAATATAAGGCAACTTTATCAATTTTCCATCTAGCAACACTAATCTTAATATTAATCTCAAACTCTATTGAGTAGTTCTAGTTTCTATAAATGATCTTACTTGATCAATAATATTATCATTACATAGTACCTAATATAAAATATGTAACAATGGAATGATGCCTCAATAAAATTCTCGTAAATAGACCACATAAGGAGTTCTCCTTCGATTTAGAATATCCAACAACACAGTTCAGACCACGATATACAAAGTTTAGCATTCCGAGACACAGATTCCATCAATGATTTTATTGCTTACTGAATAGTAAATTATCTTTTGCATTGATAAATGTTATTTTATCTTCATTTTTTCTGTCCATATAAAATAAAAATTCTATCTAAAATCATATTAAAAAATATATTACGATAATTTATCGATTTGGCACAGATAAAATTATAAATTGGTAGAAATTACTGGCAACATTGGATTGTTTTTCTACACCAAAGTGAGGAAAACTACCAAAAGTTGCCATACCGCTGTAGTAGCGCAAGTTCTTTGGATTAATGTCTCAGAATGCCATACCTGTTACTAAACCATGGAATAAGACATCGAGTAATCATCGTTCACATGTTAGTAATGATCTTTCGTGTTCTCTGCATTAGGACAGTTCAAAGCCGGTGTTGCTATTGACGGCGTAACGTAGTTTGTCACGGAGGGTGCTTCGTTTCTGATAGTTTGGCAGCTTGAGGAGGTTGAAACAGGTCGACGATGTTGGCAGACGGTTCAGTGGATCCTTCTTTCTAATTGTGAAGAAGCCTCGGATCACGCTACCTGTTGACCAAAGGATAGTATGATGAAAGGATGGATGCTTTACGTTTTGGATAACAAGAGAGAGAAGAGACATAATCACATCTTTATAGTTTATACTTCCTCGGTTATTATCTATGGTACTTTGTCTTGTCGTTTTCTATATGTGCTCTGTCATCCGTTATTATAATTTTGCTTAAATAATATAATACTTTCATTTAATTTCCAAATTGGTCCATATTTTATTTCATCATAGTATCTAAGAAAAGAGTATATCTAGCTCAATGTAACAGCAAGCAATGTTCTATTGTTATAATTTAATTACAACGTGTTCATCATAAGATTATTATATTAACTCGAAATGAACTACTCAATTTTATTTAATATGTTCAAAATTTAATCGATTTTGATCAATACTTTCTTTTTTACCAAGAAATTGTTTTGTTTACGGTTTACCTATTGTATCTCCAGTGTCTTCGTCGTCTCCAACTTCAACGCATCGGATCGAGAATGGCGGCTTGAGGTGGGCAAACCCAAGCACTGGGGGCTTGGAGCATGACGTCACGAACTGGGGAAAAACGTAATCGATCTAGTAGTAACAATATGAGCTCCGAGCGCGGCTTGAAGGTACTCGAGTTACCTCGTGAAACAGTTAAGTGAGCAGTTTACAGCCGTAAAACATGATTAATTATTTAAAATTATACAAACTACTGATACAAATTCCTAAAAAATACGGTAAAATATTTTATAGGATATAGGGCAAACAAGCCCACCACATTTACTAAAATCTAATATTCACATCGATCTAGAGTTATTAGTCATTTTACGTATCTGTGAAGCTAAGCATAAAAACTGTTATTGTGTTCAGAATTCAAGTTTCAAAGTACCAACGTTGCCAGGCTATTAGAGTTTAATAAAAGCTCTATTACCTTGAGGAACATGCCGCGTTCATGTTCCGAGAAGTCCCGTTGCAATACATCCCAGAGCCAGCAGACGACGCGATGTGAGTCGTGGAACCCGCCGTAGTACTGCGTGTGACGACGCAGGTCGCGCAGGTCCAGGGGCACGTTGTCGCCGCTGATCAGACGTTGTAACTGTACCAAAGATTACACGTGCTATGTAAGTAAGAGTGCTAATATAAACCTTAAGGCTCCGGGACCCTAGTGAAGCATTTACCAAATTCTGTTTAGCCAGTTCTTGTAGTCTCTAACTACATCTACGATATGGTTAAGGCCCCACTCATTGCTTCCTTATCTTGGATTTTTGCTATAATACTAGTAGTTTTATATGAGTTATGGCGGCATACGGACAGAAGAAATACCAGATGGTAGCGCCAGAGAAGAATCATTTTTAAAAAGATATACTTTGTATAAGCCTATTTATCGAGTAATGTATTTATTATACTTGCAATGTCGAACCACCATCCATCCTGGCAGGGTCGCCATGCAAAGTGAGGCAATGGAGAGACGTGTTTTTCTTACGAATGAGTTTAATGAAGTGTCGTAATAACTAACTACACTACTTACGTTTAGTGCGAGATTTCATACACACTACAATACTAACCTCAGGTGTGGAGAACAGTGACAACCACTCTGGGTTGATGATAGTTCTGAATCCTTTGATGAAGGCGTTAGTTTGGTCCTTGATCTGAGTGTGCATTCTGAAGTGCGCCATCAAGTGAATGTAGTTTATTCTGAAATAAATAAAATAATATTTGAAAATTGTAGCATAAATGTAACTTCTTATCCACGTTATAATAAATTACAAGTAATAGTGTCTGCTTCGTTTGATTTATTACCAAACAATAGCCAACAATTTTATTTTTAAGATCCACCTGTTTTTGATTCAAAAGAATTCGTAATTTCTATGTTTTGGTTCTTTAAACCTATTATTTCATAGTAACAAAGTAGAACGAAGAATCCATTATTATTGAGGAATATGGCAATTAAGGGCTGATTTTACAATCATCAGTGTATTCTTAACTGAAGAATAAAATTGAAATTGAACAGTTTTTAGTATAGAAGAATTATCAAATATTCATATACAATTATATCATATTATATCATACTAGCTTTTACCCGCGGTTTCGCTCGCGTCACAAATGGATAACAAGTAGCCTATGTGACATACACCAATACACACAGCGCCATATATACCAATACTTTTGTTTTCCCTCGGGATTATCAAATTATTCCGGGATAAAAAGTACCCTATTATTTAATCCAGACATTTAACTTTACGTCTGCAAAAATTCAAAGCAATCGGTTTAGGAGTTACGACGTGAAATCGGAACAAACAAACAAACTCACTTTCCGTTTTATAATATTATATAGTAAGGATTCATAATTTATTTGACGTTTGAAAAATCAGCCTTAAGTAACTCTAGATTGATGCTATTTTTAGTTTATGATGTTCCTTACTTGTTTTCATTAGTGACGGGCACTGCCTTCCCGCCAGGAACTAATTCGTGAGTGACTATTTCCCCGAGCCTCTCTTCGTCCACTGAGAACGTAAGTTCCAACGAAGATATATCGCCCTGTAACCAAACAATGATAATTTAAAGAGAGATCTAAGTTTTTGACCTTATTTAACATTTTTTCAGTCTTTCTAATTAGATACGATACAAGAAATGACAACAGAGTAAACCAGAGGAAGAACTTATTTAAAAATTATATCTTTAGTAGCCATTATTACAATAAGTCAATTTAGTGGCCTCATATTTTTGGGTACTTTATCAAAATTAGTTGCACTACTGCGAAAAAGTTTGGCAACCAGTAGTGGTCAACTAGCAACTGTTGAATAAAATAAGCTAAAGAATCAAGCTTTCGTGCATACTTGGAAATGTTTGATGTACGTAAGACTGCGGTAGAGGTCCCTGTCGAGCGAGGGCAGCTCGTCGATCCATGAGTACAGCGCCTGCTGGGTCTGTCCCAGTACTTGGCTCAGGAAGAACGACGCGAACGGCACGTCCACTACTATACCCTGCTCATACAAACAAATAATACAAAAAACTGTTATTACATATTACAAACACATTAGTATAAATAAAGATAACATTATTTTTTAGTTTGTTTTTGAATTTCTCAATGAAAAGGTCATTTGGAATCACCAGGGCAATTTGAAGATCAAAAGCGGTTATTATTTTTGTCACTATTTATAAAAAATAACAGTTAATAAAAGTTACAAAGATTCAAAGAAAAATATGCTTTCTTTAAGAAAGATATATTTCAGAAAAAGTTAAAAAAAGACTGTAATGGTTGTCAAGAAACTTAAAATAAAAGGAGTATAATTATTTAAAAATCTACATTGTAATTTCAATAGAACTGACCTCATAAACAGCTTTGCCCAGCATCCTCCCAATGAACTCGAACAGTTGTAGATGGTTGTCCTGCAGACACGAGGTGGGCGACGGGTACAGTCGCTCCTCACTCGTCACGCGGAACAAGTTCAGCGACGGATCGAACACACGCTTTATCGTTTCTTCTAGGAATTCTACAAATTAAAAAAAAATGTGATTTACATTCGAAAATATGTATTTTGAGAACTAATAACAGACAAAATGAAAAAATGGTGAATAGATTGTATATAAAAGAAAAACATAATGTTTGCTAAGGGAGTACAAAAAAACCTATTTTGCCGAAACCAAACAACATTATTAAGAATAATAGAAAGGCAAAATCAAATAAGCGTTTATTATTTTGAAGTTATCAATACATCTATACAGATAAATAAAATTGGAGTGTCTGTTTGTAATATTGAAATAAACGCTTTTTGCTACATGCATATGGAATATACATACGATACATATACCAAAAAACTCATTTTACAATTTTTGTCTAGCTGTCTGTCTGTTCGTTTGTACTGGCTTGCAATGACTGGACTGATTGTGACGGGACATTTATTGGCAGGTAGCTATTTTACTAATGAGTAACATAATCTAATATTATAAATCGGAAAGTGAGTTTGTTTGTTTGTTCCGCTTTCACGCCGTAACTACTTAACAGATTGTTTTGAATTTTTGCAGAAGTAAAGTTAGAAGTCCGGATTAAATAATAGAGTACTTTTTACCTCGGAAAAAATTGATATTCCCTAGGGAAAACAAAAGTATTAATATAGATGGCGCTGTGTGTTTTGGTATATGTCACATAGGCTACTTTTCATCCTTTTGTGATGTGAGCGAGGCCGCGGGTAAAAGCTAGTAAGTAATAATAGTTACCTTTAAAAACTCCATCCTGGTCGATGCCCGCCTCGTCCAGCCCCTGTTCGTTGATGAACCGTACCCGCACGCAGCCCTTGAGCGCGCGACTGGGCAGCGCGGCCAGCTGGCGGTACCCGTCCTCCACCAGGCGCGCGCGCCGCACCGTCACCAGCGTCGACCGCCCGCCGCACGCGCGCTCCGTCAGGCCCAGCACCACCTGCCCACAGATTATACAATTTATTTCTGATAAAACAAGCTTAGTTTGGGAGACAAGGTTGCTTCATAATGTATAGATTTATGTAGATTGACTTTCACTTGGGAGAATCATGTTTGGGTATGAATGGGCTGGTTTGACCGGAGTGATATCACGGCCTCATATAGATTCGATGTAAAATAACAGTTACGTTGTGTTTCGTCATGTGAGCGATAAAAATTCAAGGGTACTGAAGGTTCTATCGTCTCTTCAAATCCAATCTCCAACACACTTGTATCTTACAAACGAGTTGCCGGACCTCTAGTGTTGCCGCCTATGTGCAGCGCCGATTGTTTTCTATTATATTAATAAAATATAACACTGGCTGCTTTACAGTTTTTAGTTTTGAATAATTCTGCCAGGTCGCACTATATGTTTTTGTTTCGTTGCGTTGTTGTTCTTACCTTTCATAGAAGTATGTGCAAGTAAATAAAAGTAAATAATTGTTTACAAGAATACAATCTTTTATTAGAATTCCTAGCGACTAACTCAATATTTGCCATAAGGTGATGCGTCTACATAAATTGCCGCCCTAACTTACTACAATATCTTACCTTTTCATCAGCGACAGCGCGTCTGAACAATCTGACACGTTCCCCGTGTGCAATCATATGAGGCGTCTTTTGTACCAGTACCTGTAAAAAAAAACAATCGTTAACTTAGACAGCCAACAACAACTCAATTCGTCATAGAAATATCATTCTTATTCTATAAGAATTTAGTATTCAATACTAATTTCGTATTAAATAGAGAAGTAGGAATTGACCTCTCGGTAGGTAAGCACTTACTTGTTGCGGCTTCTTCCCCTTCTCGAGGTCGGCCATGAACTGTCCCTCGCGTATGTCCCGCACGAGCCAGTGGCCGGCGGGCGTGTAGGCGCGCCGACAGTCGCGCCGGTACAGCACCAGCAGCAACGTGTGCAGCGAACTGAACAACTCGTTGCTTTGGATGGTTTTGAGATCTGATGTAGGTAAACTTAAACTGATTATTGTTCTTTCAAACCGAAAGTTCCATATAAAAATTGACAAGATTTTGTAGGAGGTTCTTGACAGAGACAAATTGACTTATAAATACTTAAAGGGACGACTTTAAAAATATGATCTTTCAAATTTCAACTATTCCATAGTATTGAATATCAAGTTTTAATTAAGACTTTGATATTATTCCTAGTAAAAGAGTGTGCTTACCAAACAATTGTCCCATAATGGACTTGTAGACAAACATGTTGAGGAACTGCGACATGTTGATAAAGTCTTGCAACTTGAACGGGTTCTGTTGCTCGTACATCTCCATGTCGTCCAATATCCTTTGAACAAATAATTCCGTTAATATGTACAATAAAAAAAAACTAAAAAGAATTGTACAACACTTGTTGTTAACAAGTGTGACAGTTTAATATAAGGGTTCATTCATTCATTCATTCATTCGTTCGAATGAATGAATGAATGAACCTATGAATTATCCTACCTGAATAGGTAGGATAATTTAGTTCAGACACATCATGAAATAAGATATTTAGTTTCGAAATTCTTATTGAATCTGCGTATTTCAATACTGAGACCAGAATTTAATAAGGTTTGTCGTTCCTGTGCCTTTAGCCAAATGCCACTTTAGCGCTTGTCTACAGAGAGAGTAGAAAACTAAATGTATGGGAATGACACTGACAAGTGTCTAAATTTACGTCAATTCCAAATTATATGGTTTTCTATTCTACGTGTAGACAAGCGCTAAATGGCATTTGGCTGCTGGTTACATTAACAATAACAACTGACGAAAACGGGGGCACTTCAGTAACTAGATACACTTTTGGATACTCATTCGGGGTACATCAGATGTGATTTAATCTTATTTGATTAATTGATATATGCTACTTACTCTGTGCTAGCACAAAATAGACCTTACTCTTCAGTTTTAATACTTACGTAACATAATGCGTCATGCAGTCTGCGAAGAGTATCAACATTTGGAACTCCGGCGCAGACGTCTTCGTATTAACAGCTAAGAGATCTAAGAATGATTTCAGCCCACAGTTTGGTCCCAGTGTACACAAAAATTGCCATAACGAATACAATATTTCATCTTGATTACATAACCCTGAAAAAAAAAAACAGTATTATAACATAATATCACGCCTTTTATCCCCGAAGTGGTAGGCAGAGGTGCACACTAGGGCATGTAATGTCACTGTACAATGTAACACCCACTTTTCACTATTTATGTTAAGTCCCATGTAATAGGGGGTAAGCCTATTGTCATATACCGGGCACAATTCTAGACTCCGTGCTACTACTGAGAATTTTTAAAAGCCCCAGTAATACTTCGCCCGACCCGGGAATCGTTATCGTATGTTACTACTGAGAAGTTTTTAAAAATCTACTAAAACGTTGTCCAACCCGGGAATCGAACCCGAGACCTGTTGCTCGACAGTCGCACTTGCGACCACTCGGCCGACGAGGCAGTCTGTATAAGAAATACTATTAATCTCAATATTTTAATAGTCAATGCCTAGACTGCATTTTATCGTGTAATTTAGTCGGTAGTAAATTTTTCACATCTCTCGACTGTGCTTATGGTCTGCATAGTAGTAAGTTCCACCATCTTACATGGCGTAATAAAAATGGTTTTTCTTTCTTTCTCTACATTTCAAAACTGAACATAACATCGGACATTTGAAAATTATATTTTGTGATCTAGATCAAGATATATTTTGCGTTTATTATCTACTAGCGACCCGCCCCGGCTTCGCACGGGTGAAATATGCATGTATTATACATACAAACCTTCCTTAAGAATCACTCTATCTGTTAAAAAAAACCGCATCAAAATCCATTGCGTAGTTTTAAAGATCTAAGCATACATACGGACATACAGCGAAAGCGACTTTGTTTTATACTATGTATTGATAATTCTTATTGTCCCTAACAAAAGGAGACAGATGTTAAGGAGACAGATTACGAACCTGTAAGTATATCAAGTTTGACCTGCGTCATAGTCTGCAGCGCCGTGTGGTACATGGAACATATGAGCGCCGTCTTCGTGCAGTCCGGCGAACCTAACTTCCTATAGTGTTTGTTTGCGTTAGATCTGAAACAATACACACTTTATGTCATTGTCGGATTCTGCATTCAAATAATTCATTTATAAACTACGTTTATAAAACTGACTTCAACCCCTCTTTTTTGAAGTCGGTTAATTGAACTCTTTTCTGATAACTGCATCAAAATCGGTTCGGCCAATTGGGTACTACTTGCCTTAATCAAAAATAAATTATTTCGACTGTTCAATACAATCAAATATTAAAAAATAATCACACTTTCATCTATTGATTTTATGACCAACGTCTGCTGTATGCTGTATGTTTGACTTTAAAAAAAACGTGACGTCACAATACACAATCTCGTACAAAATTCATAGAAAACTGTCGTTTTTGACAGTTCGAAAAAACTATTCAATTTGACTGATTGGCAAGTACTTAATTGCGAGATTATCGCGCACAAACATACATACATGCAGGTCAACCTGGGAACCTGTTTGATTTACCTGTTAGTTCTAGCCTCGATAGCCCTTCTAATGATAGCAGCAGGATTGTTACTCTGTACCGGAGTAGAAGGCTGCGAGGGTCCTGCGCCCTCCTCCCCAGTCACTCCTGCATCTATCATGTCCTTCAGCGGTGTAGCCAATAACTTCTTCAATAACGGAGCTGCCCATAACAAAGACAGTTGGTTCCGCAAGTTCCCCATAGCTGGGGGCAGGAAGTTGTCCAAACCTTGCGAAAACCAGCCGAGGATAGGGTGCCAGTTGCTCAAGTTGCCTTTCTTGCAGACCACGTATTGTTGACACGAGTCCAGGAACCGTGTTACCACCAACTGCAAACATATTTAAGTTTTAGAATAACATCTGATACATTTTAAGTGTGGGAGAGCCATGCTTCGGCACGAATGGACCGGCTCGACCGAAGTGATACCACGGCCGCACAGAAAACCAACGCTTGCGTTGTGTTTCGTCATGTGAGTGAGGATACCGGAGGCCCAAATACCCTCCCCTTCTCTAATCTCCCCAATTCCTGAATCCCCAACGATCCTCAAACTCCTAATCCCCAAAAGGCCGGAAACGCACTTGTAACGCCTCTGGTGTTCCATGTGTCCATGGGCGATGCCGATTGCTTACCATCAAATGATCCATCTGCTCGTTTACCGGCCGGTTTTCTTAATTTAGTTTTTTATTTGCTAAACTTAATGTTTTCGGTATCTTTCACCACTTATTACATAATTCACTAATTAACATAATACTTACAACAAACGTAGGATGGTACGTCTCCGGCTGTGCATGGTCCCGCTCGCAGTGCGCCATCTGCACGAGGTTGGCGAGCAGACACAGCGCGTAGTTGCCCTCCAACGTGTTGAACACAATGCGCATGTTCTGGTCTGTGCTCAGGAACTCCAGGCACTTGTCGAACATTGAGTACGACCGGTATGACGACATCGACTGCAAAATAAAGATTTTACAGTTCTAATTTATCGAAATTAGTTAAGCAGTTTAGGTGTGAAAGTAAAATAAACGCAACGCAATTACTTGTTGGGATTAAATTAATATGAAAAAAGCTGCTTTTGACCATAACTGTGCTTACATTTAAATAATTAATTTATGACAACACATTGGTGAGGTTCGTTCTGGACACACGACGTACTCAGATTGTGGGTACCTCAGTTCAAGCCACTTAAATGTGCTTTTTCAAAAATATATTTATTGGTTTCTTGGAGAATATACTTCTCATGTATAAGAGACACAATAGAAAATACATTATACCTATTTCCTCTAAATGGGTAACCTTAAAACTAGTATTTGTAAAGCATGGTACTCACTTCAGGAGATATAAGCTGCATGTGGTACACAAGGGTGGGTACAGACAGGATCTGTATGATGTACATAGTGAGCAGCTTCTCCGAGAACTGGGCAGACACCAGGGGTCGCAGTGACAAGGTCACTATAGCAGTCAGGGAAACGTTCTTCAGGTATACCTTCTCACGACATAGCCCGCGGAGTAGCAGAGACTGGAATGAAAAGATAAGAATGGTTCATGAGAAGATACTTCTATTTTCATTTATTATTACTAAATTTTACAATCTTCATACCAGTAGGTAGTAGTAATGCATTGCTCTCAATAATAGTATAACTTAACAAAACTAGCTTACTGTAATGTCTTATGTGTACAGTGGGGGACACATCCACCTGAACACCACTAGTTAATGTTTGCACCTGATGAGATCCGCTCGCTAGCCCTGCCCCATGACCTTGCATTACCGAATGAAGCGAGGTGTTGGGCGGGGCTGGCGTTTTTCTATTAGTCAAGACATTTATGGGTATGGCCAGATTCCAGCAATAACATTTTTAAATGATCAGGCAAATCTGTCTTCCACTGTACCTGATCGATTTATTTGATCCTAACCTTATAAAAATTAATATGCAGTGTACTAAACTGTTCTTTTAGAGTATTTAATCTAATGTTAAATTTTCAAAGTTCCATCCATTAGTAATCTATACTAGAACTTATAAATTATAAGTATCTACACTAAGCTGTTAGAAGACCTTAATAGACAAGGTTCAAGATTACTAATTACAGAAGTGATTACATGATAAACGATTAATTAGTAAATAACGACATTGGACATTCAATAACATAATACAAATTATCTAAAGTAACAGTTAAGTGGTATTTGTATCCGTAAACAATTAGAGATTCATAATGACCCTAACTGGTAGCATAATATTACGTGTTATAATAATAACAAATATATTTACTATTCACAAGGCTTATTGATAAAGGTATAACCTTGCCATTTTGTATGTTATTACTAACTGGATAGAGTTACATTTGCTTGGGCACTAATCATCAAGACATGCAAAAGGATGATTTTGGACTTGAGAGAATTGATAAAAATATTTTTCTCAACAAATCTCTTATCTAATTTTTAACAACTATGTCAAATGTTAAAGATGTAACATGTATGGCTTGCATCCTGTATGGTTTGATTAACGGACAGTTTGTGTGTCATGCAAATTATACAATTAGGGTGAGTGACACCGTATCATTAGTAGATTACACTTAATTTAGCTGGGAATTACAAAATAGGTTGACACTGAGGCTCATGTCGTGTATTATGTTTATTTCGAAATCACACAAATATTATAAAAGTGAAAGTTTCTGTGTTTGGATTCTTGTCTGTCAATTACGCTGAAACTACTAAACAGATTTGCATGAAATTTGGTTTACAGATACTTTTTATCTACGCGAACGAAGTTGCAGGCAAAGGCTAGTAGAACATAATTTTATTAAACCTTATTCTCATAATTTTCCATTTGATTGAATTTTTTAAACATATCCGAAATTTTGGCTTGTTTCATGGTTGTGTTTGCAATACCAATTTCTAGATTAGTGTATCAACCATGCCATTAAATTTTCAGTGTCAAATTACAAGAAAGTGTAACAAGCCTGTATAATAAACAGCCACTCACCTTCAGAGTTAAATAATATCCTTTATGGAAGAGTGATCCCATGACATTAGCACACAACTGAGTCATCCCACCCCTGAGCTTCTCAAAATTCTTCAACCGAGTGAGCGCCCAAGTATTGTTGGCAGTGAACGCTACTAGTGTGTGAAGGTGGATGAGGATGCTCTGCATGTCTATTGGAGACTCTGGCTTCAGCTCCTCGAGGTACTGGCAGCATTTGTACAGGAGATCTTTGATATGAGCTATCCAGCGGAGACTGGAAATAAGCATAAAACAAATGTAACATTTCAGTTTCACATACACATCACACCTAGACGCAAAACAACAATTTACTAGTCACTATGGACAAAAATGTAGTACACTATAGCTTTTACTGAGAATTTGGCTTCACATTTTGCCCAAATACTCATACATATTATGGAATCAAATTTTAGGTTGACTAGTAAGGCAGGATAATTAATATGAGCCACAAATAATTATTGAACATAGAAAGAAAACTCTATTCATATTATTCACACTTAAATTAAGATGTAGGTACCTATTATGAATCATTATTCTGTTACAGTAATGAACGAAACACATTATCCTTATTAGACACATTCATTAGAATTAAGCGCTAATAAATTGATGCATGAATCTGTAAACAATTCTATTTTATCTAATAACAAAGAAAATGAAGACACAGGCCCAGCCAAATATTTCATTAATACTTTTTTTTAGAATAAATTGTACTTGTTATTCTGTTCTGATTATAAAATTTGAAAAGTTTGTTATGTACTTGTTTTACACTGCAGTGTAGAACTAATGCATTCAGTACATTGTTTTGAAATCCAATGCAACCAATAAATTCCACCTATAATACATAATAATATATTTATTTCGAAGAAGTAAATAAAATTGATGCACAACAGATATTTTGTTAATAAAGTATTCAATTCAAGATATTCCACTTGGCTGCAGGTTTCCAATTTAAGTAGACTAACTTAAAATTCATAATTAATTATTAAGTTAACTAGACTAATATAATGAATATTCTAAATCAATATGAAAGTGAATATTATGTAAGGCAATGAATATGTTTAGAATTGTCAATTAATGCCTAACTGTATAAGAAACTAATTACATACAAAGTTAAGTAAGACTTGAAGTAACAGTAACTTTTAAGGCACATAACCATTGCTTGCGGATTAACTCATTGAGTACCGTCATTATAGACACAATTAAAGAACAATAGGTTGCGGTCACCGGTGACCGCTCGGTGTTTGACAGTTTAATTAACATAACGTTTTAGTGCCATAATGTTAGACAATTTTTGACCCACATAGCTGTGCACAGGGTGGTATAACATATGAAAAATCTCTTAGGTTATTGATAAAATTAAAATTTTTAGAAATTTCATTGATATCTTTTTAAAATCTTCATAAATTAGGATATATTGAAACAGATACCAGAACAGTTACTTTAGTATAAGTAAATAAATGAAACATACCTGTACTCTTTATTCAGGAAGACTCCTACATAAGACAGTTTAACAGACTCTGAGTGTAAGCTCTGAACAATATATCTGCAGAGGTTTTCAAATCTCTTGCGGTCTCTTTGCTGTTTGAACACCAGAAACAGCCTGCATGTCACCCGGTAGACTTCTAATGCTGGAATCAGTTCCACTGGCTGGGGGGGCTCATCCTGTGAGCCTTGGTTTGATGTCTCAGGGAGGAGCTCGTCGAAATCGTTTCTACAAAGAGGATAATTGTAGGATTGTAGAACGAATAAACTTAATATTGGAGAATTTGCATTCAGAAGTATTTTAGTAGATGTTCAGATGGAAGAAAAGTAACTGAGATGACAGAAGTTATGTACTTACTTAAATATAACGTTTTAAATGGAAAACTTACAGTATACGTATGACAAATTTTTTTCTTTCGAGCCATCCTCTGACAACTGCTTGGATCCTGGTAGCAGACTGCTCTCGTTTCTTCTCGAACGCGCGCTCTTCGCGAGCTGCCTTCGCCTGCTCCAGGAACGAGTCCTTGGTCGTCTCGTAAGACTTGGAATACATTATCTTTCAACCGATCCTATCGCACTCAACACAATTATTTCGCTTTGTTTCCCTTTTTCGTCTACCTGTCAGGACATCAAGCTGCACCGATGCATCGTATAAACCAAAGCTATCTCCCGTTACGCATTGTTAATGATTGGAAAGCACTCTAAACCAAGTTTTTAAATCATTTTTGCAAACTAATTACAATTGATTTTATTAGATTTACGGTTTATTTTAGAGAAGCCCTGGGGTAGAAATTTGTTATTTTGACATTGTTTTCGATGTTGCCATACTATTGTAGTTACCATAATTATCGAATAATGAATAATACCAGCACTAAATAATCAAGTGACTAAATACTATACTAAGTACCTTTTGTTAAACGTCCTTGACTAAGAGAATATGTTATTATTTACATTAAGTATTTATTTTAACACGAAAAAATTGAGTTATTTCGTAAAAATATATTTTTTCACCTTCATGACATTCTTTTCCATTTATTTAACTATCAACATTATAAAAGGGTTGCTATTTGTAAGAAGAAAGTTACCCATCTCATTTGTTCGGGAAAATTAAATTTAATAAAGTCGTTGAATTTTCGTTATCATTCACTTAAGGTGCGAATGTTCCACGGATGGGGCCCAATAGGGCTAATGCCGATACGGAGCCGCGGAGAACTTAACGGGTTACCGGGGCTCTGGTTTTAGTCAGTAAAAGTCTGACATTCTTACCCGCCTCACTCAGGCGGGAGAAGTCATTCACTGATTTTTTAAAAAAAGGTGCAAATACTGTCTACATTTTGTCATTATCTTTTTATACTTAATTACTTAATACATTTATATGAAATGACCATCATTATGCATTTTATGAACATTATGCATTTTACGCATTTTGCCCGAGTCCACCAAAAATAGTACCTAACATAAAATGAATTCGGTTAATAATCACACCCATTTTGCTTTTGGCCTAGCAAAATTATGAATCTTTAAAAGGCTGAAGTGTTAAAATTTAAAAAACAATAGGTATTATTTAATATTATTAATATACCTCATCCTACATATTATACATTAACCACGACTTAAATAAGTACAAAGAGTAACAAGTAGGTACCTATAGGTTAAGCAACATTTTAGTCTGAAATCCCTTACAATATAAGTTTCCCAAAAATAAAATCACTCTCTTAGGAGAGATACGAATACTTACCTAACAACTAAGTCTATTACTTACATATTCTAACATAACATCACGCCTTTTATCCCCGTAGGAGTAGGCCGAGGTACACATTATGCCACTGTACAATGTAACGCCCACTTTTCACTATTTATGTTATGAGTCCCATGTAATAGGGAGTGAGCCTATTACCATATACCGATTCCAGACTCTGTGCTACTACTGAGAATTTTTAAAAACCCCAGTAATACTTTGCCCAACCCGGGAATCGTACCCGAGATCCCTTGCCCGGCAGTCGCACTTGCGACCACTCGGCCAACGCGGCAGTCTACTTACTTATTATGTAATAATAACAGACTCCGTGAAACTATTAGTAAAAGCGATCTCATAAATCTGGGTCTTATTTTCCTATAAGCTGCAATTTGTTGATAAGTCTAGCACTTAGAAATACATCCAGGAAAGACCCGATAGCTCCTTTAAAACTGTAAAACAAATGGTTATATCTACAGACCGATATTATAATCCGAGATTACATATATTATTATATCTAATCATGATAATTTTATAGATAATCTTAGCGGACTATAAGTATTTGATGAATGCATGCATTCGTCAATAGATAGTTAGTGGATAGTTTTCATTGTTTCTAAACGAGATGCAAGCATTTGTTTGTGAAGGATGCATGCATTCGTCAAACGATGCAACGCGGCAGTTACGTTCACTACACTACCTTATGCCCAAATACTGAAAGACTACTCAATTTAAAATTGTACTTACTTAAATATCGTGCCATCTCTGTCATTTAACAAAGAATTTAAGAGACAGTACGAGTTTGTTTTACGTTTAAAGTAATCGTAACAAGTACCCGTTCGGCACTGTGATTGGCCAGCTCCAATGAAGCAACCAATTAGAGCGCCGAACAAACTCGTACTAAGGCCTCAGAACTATAGGTAAGTACATGCGCGATTTAAAATTGAGTTTGAGTACCTATTTCAGCGTTAGCAGCGTGGAAGCTACTTACGAAACCATATCATGAACCAGAACTTGACTTTCTCACACATATTAGACATATCAGTCATCTAGGCACCCAAGGGATTACTCATATCCTCTGACTTCCTTAGCTAATTGTCAAGATCCTGTTGGTAGTGATAGCCTTCCGGTGATTAGCAATGACTAATAATAAGCACCATTGTGGGTGAACGTGAACCCGACTGATAATAGATAGTGACAATTTTTGCACAATACCTACGTGATAAGTGATAAGAGAGGCATGTTAGCTCTACTTTGTAATGAACTGAAATTACTATCGGGTTATTCATTAGGTCCCTAGTTACATTCCAAGGGTTCGTCAAGAAAGTGTTGGGTAGCGAAATTCCAAACAAAGGTGTCATATTTTTGTTCAAAAAATGAATTGATTAAAAAGAATATTACGTCACTGCACTGTACCTATATATCTACCAACTTAAAGCTCTATAATTTTGCTATAAATTGTTTTTTTAAGGGATAGGTAAGCCGGTAAACGAGCAGACGGATCACTTGATGGTAAGCAATCGGCGCCGCCCATGGACCCCCGGAACACCAAGGCCTTATAAGTGCGTATCCGCATATATATATAACAGCTCACACATAAGACCCATTTAGTTTTTAGTCAAATTTCGATGGTGCTTGGCGACTGGGCTTCACCCAGTTGTACATTCTCTTTTTTGTGCCTTTCGGCTTAATTAATTTTGTCTCCTGCAGTAATTCACCGAGGGAAGTGGAAACTATCGTTTTTATTCTTCTCCTCTTATAATATCTTCAGATTCACTTCGTTGCAGGAACCAAGACAGTTATTCATGTCCCTGGGACGCGCCGGACTTCAGTGTTCCGGTGTTTTTATGTTTGTATCTACTGTAGATCCTGGCTTACAGGAGTTGCAGCGGTTTTGGGAGGTTGTGGCGGGCTTGTCCCATAAAAAAGGGAGTATCTGATACTCGATAGTGATATCCGCGGTATGCATATATCTATACGTTTCTCTAGTTAAGTTACGATTCTGTTAATAGGTAGTCGGTACGTAATAGGGAGTGAGGGTAACCTTGTTGGCTTGTTCCCAAGCATTTGATTAGGTAATTTCTTCAATATTATTAGATACTGCCTAGATACATATAGTAAAAACGTCGCAGTTACATTGCTCACACAAGTTACAAACTTGCAATTTTATCGAAATATAGATATGTAGACTGTCTAAAACGAAACTCTTTACGAAATTGCGCAATTTCTTCAATCTAAATTGTCTTTGATATTTAGTCAATCTGAATCGAATCACGAAAGCCAATAAATAAAACGGTTTGGCCACGCCACATTTACTTTCTCCGATTTTTTGTTCCTTTCTTTTTGCGGGATCGGGATTTAAAAAAAAAACAAAAGACCTCGATTAGCCGCCTGTCCTTTGGTACAAGCAATAAATGTCAACTAGGTATAGAGAATGGGTTGTTTATAGTATTTTTTTTTTACCTATTTTAGGTTAGAATTTTATGGCTTTTAATGGTTGTACCCACCGACTTTTTATTGGGTAGTTGACATGATTTTAAGTTGATTTAATTAATTACACTCAAATTTTCGACAAGTTAATTTTATGTTGCGAAATATAACTACATTGAATTATTTAACGTAACTTACCTCACATAAAGCTTTTTAATCTAAGGGGTAGATTATTTTGTAGGTAGGTACACTACGTGCAGTTTATGAAAGAAGGATTATTGATCAGATTGTTTTGGTTGTAATCATATAACTTTGTAAGCTGTGAAGAACCTAAATAAATTAATAAATATAAAATTGATTGCTACCGAGTCAAAGTCAAGACTTTTTGATTCTGATCAGTAAACATGTTGTTACATCTACAAAATAAATACTAAGTATATCCCAAATATTAACATATACCAAACTAATTATTGTGTTTTTTGACTTACTCACGTAATTATTTGACGACTAGTCGAGTCCCTCGTAAAATAATTGCAAGTAAGTCAAAAAATATAATCATTTATTTAGTATATGTCTCACGAAAGTTATAATGTAAATTTGTTTTTACCTGTTTCTTCATGATCAATATCACCATTACGCTTTTGTATTCCACTTCCACTTGAGCACCTCTTTCAGTATAGCGCCAGAAGTCACGATCACGTCTCAGTATTTAGACACTAGATTTTTTTTACTGAACATTTTCTCCCACATTCCGTTAACATTTTCCCCGTCTCAAACAATAACTGTTCCATAATAAAAGTGTAGTTCGTCTTTACACCTGTCGCACCCCAACCTGCCCCAATAGATACAGCATGCTAATTATATTGCTTATCCTAAAAAAATAAACACCGTTATGTTAATACACCCCGTCAATTTGATGGTTTAGTTGAAGGGTGAATAGTTTTTATATTCTTTATGGGGATGGTCATATCAAAGATCTTTATATTTTTTCATGTATTCTTTGGTATTTATGGAATTTTCACTAAACATAAAATATAACAAGGATAGACGACGGTGCTGTGTTTTACTTATTCCGTTATTGTTTTATTTATTTAAATTAAATCAACAAACAAGGTTACACCCAATGCTATAATGTTGTCACTCAATATAAAAACTTATAATTAACATTGTAATAACACAGCCATATTCTTATCCATCAAGTAGAACCATCAATATCAGTCGTTACCTTCATGAATTCTGCCAATGACAACTGAAAATATATACCAAATTTTTGTTAAACGCTGTTAATTATTTTAATAGCTCTAGCCACAGGAGCATACTGACCTATGTTGTGCGAGTGGTGGGTACTTCAAATAGTCTGCCTCGAGCTCAGCATTAGCTTTCTGTTTGGGACGAGTAACCTCAACGAAGTCAGTATTGTTTCAGAAGTGACCCTTGTAAACGTGCTACTTTCCCGATTGTACGGCGCGTCGCGTTCCGCGCCCGCATCAATGAGCCATCAGACCACACATGGGTCCAATATAGCTGATGCCGATACGGAGCCGTAGAAGTCTTAATGGTTTTCGGGGCTCGAAGTGCAGTGAAGTGGAGTAGGAACGGGGTGGTTTTTACTCAGTAAGAGACTAACACTCCCTCTCGCTTCACCCGGGCGGGAGTAGATATTGGATATTTTCTCCACTCAAAAGAAAAACAAGCTACTATACTAAAAAAATCCCCGAATTTTTAAATTTAAACTATGGATAACAACCAATGTAATTGTAATTGCTCGATCAATGGAATTTATTTATAATTTATTTATTTTAAATAAAACCTACATGTAGTTCCAAACATAGCCAAGATATTTATTTAGAAAAAATAATACTCCGGACCTTCAGGTTCAACACAAATCAGCTAAGTAAAATATAAATCTTTTATTAATTAAGTTTAAAGAAACCGACTTCAGCTCCCCCTTTTTTTGACGTTTGGTAATAATATAAAGGTACTGACTGACATTTATCCGAATCTGGTCAGGATTCAGTGACGAGCTGACCACAAATCATAGTCGAGAAAATAATCAAATAAGACGGACATACAGACAGACTATGTTACCTACTCCTCTACCTAGTCATCGCCTTGGGGCGGGTTGTAATGATAAAAAACAATAATCCCAACATAGTACCTCCTCCTTTTTTGAAATCGGTAAAAAGAATACTGACTGACTCATTCTTCATAGGTGAGTCATCGAACTTTAGGAAACCAATTATGTCCGCTAACGTTTGCTTTGTAATATAAGACAATGGTTTAGGGAAATTAAATAATGATATTTAAATGAACTTATCTAGGGATGAAGTAATGTGGTTAATCTAATAAAAATTTGTGTAAAACTACAATGTAACAAAAATAACACATTTTTTTAGATGATTAACGCGTGTATGTTTGTTGTGATCTGTGTGTATGTATTTTTGTTCGCGAGTATCTTACGTCGCGATTAGCTAAACCAATTTTGAGGCGGTTTCCAGAAAAGTATTAGGAGCAGGTTTCAGTATATTACCCACTTCAAAAAAAAGGTCGGTTTTTTAAACGTAGTATTGTGAATTATAGATCAATATGTTAAGTGCTTTTGTAATAGGTATTAGAGGTCCCACAGCAATATACGGACAAACTTTCTAAACATAGGATACTGTGAAGAATAGGCTTCGAACTATTATCGGATATTTCAACCAGTTTCACCATATTACAGTTACTACAAATCCCGTTCTTTAGTCACCAGCGAAATCATACCTACCAGCCTTTAAATAGGTACTTACATAAACTTTTTTTCTTAAACATTTTTATTAAGCATGTTTAATAGAGCATTATCTTGTGGCAAGGAAATATAAACTACAGTTAAACGGCTTCATCAGGCATTAAACGAATTTACCACTAACTAACAGAAAAACAGAGTACACCATTCAATTAAATTGAACGCCTGTTTTAAAATAATGACATTTCAATTATAACGAATGCATTGTAAAATGCCTTGGACCTATTGTCACGTATAAAAAGTCACCGTTGCAGCGCAGTGTATGTAACTAAGTAAGTATATACATAGTAAATAGCAGCTGTACCTATATAGTGGAAATTGACGCTGTGGACTTACTGAGAATCACTACAAGTTCATGTTAATTTCTTTAGTTCTACGGCGACTTTTTGTGTTCTTTTCTTTGATGGCATAAGTAGGTGAAAGAGCAGACGGATCACCTGATGGTAAGCAATCGGCGCAGTCCGTGGACACCAGAAAAATCAGAGGCTTTATAAGTGTGTTGCCGGCCTTTTGGGGATTATTGGGTATTCGGGGATTGGGAAGAGCGTAATTGGGCCTCCGGTAGCCTCACTTACATGACGAAACATAAGCGTTGTGTTACATCGGTTTTCGGTGATGCCGTGGTCTCCGGTCGAGCAGACTCATTCGTGCCGAGGCATGGCTCTCCCCATACTTAAAACGTTAAGTTCTATTTTAAGGTGGAGTAAAGTATTAATTAGATTTACAGATTTGTTTTTTTTTGTAATAGCATGTAATAGGAACGTAAAATTGTGTTACCTATCTTCTTGTCTTATTAAGATTGTGTGTGTTGTATTAAGGCCTAAAAGTGAATTAGCAATTTTTTTGGTATTTGTAGAAGTTAATATATGTGATCGTGAAATGGGATGATGTCAAATCGCCGTCTCAATTAACTTACCCTGAATAACTTAGCAGTCAGCAGGAATCATTTAAGAGTATCTAGTAAAAACGTAAATAAGTATCATAAGGCAATGACAGAAAATGTTCACAAGGATCTCAGGTTAGAATTTTAAGTGTTCAATAATTTTGTACAAAACTTTTTGAGTAACTAGTTCGAAAAAGTATTTCGCAACCAACAAGCAAGAAAAACAAGAACACCAAACATGTTTTTAGAAACGAAAATATTTTAAATTCTTTAAAGGAACCATTAACAAATAATAACCGACTAAACGATATAAGAGGAAATCGTAATTAATTTAATTAGTAAAATACAGTAATACAGGTGACAAGTTAACATCAGTCGATTCGTGGATCTAGCAGTAACTAATTAGCGGTGTAAAATATCTATGTAGGTGCATACATATGTCTATATCTATATTCATATTAATACATACATGTAGTTGTAAAGTTTGTGTTTGTTCGTTTGAACATATTAATTTCAGGAACTGTTGGTTCTATTCTAAGAGTTATTTTTTTTAGATATGGATGGCTAATTTATCAAGAAAGGCTATAAAACATAACGCTACGATAGGTAGGAGCCAAGCAGCAAGTGAAATAGTTTTTGAGTAGTTAGTCTACATATATATATTAGTGCACGTGGCTTGAAAAAGTATGAAGGAGTAAGCTTCATAGAGGTATTTTGAAAACGTTTCGGAATTTAGCTAATTATTTGGGAGTAAGGAATGCAATCATTAGGTTAATTGTTTGTTTATAGGTAACGTAGGCTAGTTTTTGCCTTCAATTTTACTTACGGGTCTGTATATGAGTACCTAAGTAGGTATCTACTTTAAGTTAGAAGCATCTCGTATTTTTAATTAACACATTAACCGCCGCGTCGGCGTAGGTCACCGGTGACCTACGTTAGCGGAGGATTTGCCTTCAGCAGTTTTCTGTCGGCAGTCAAAGGCTTAATAAGTACATCTATCCGTAATTCTATATCTGGTTATGATACACACAGAGTGCTATGTTGTAATAGTAAAATTATTATTATAATACGTTCAATCCCCGTTGCAAATTAAATTACGAATTTTTGCAGTGCCAGAGACAACAGATACATGCTCCCTTGCATAGCCCTTTGGGTTATAAAATAGGTATGGGTAGGTCTGTCCAAGCGAGGTTTGTAAAACTGCCTCTCAAATTCCTCATGAGATTATATACTTAGTTCTACATTGTACAAAAACTGCCTATTACATCTACATAAGTACCTATATTATAATCCCACATACCTATCTACCTAAAATCACTATCATTATTAGGTATCGTGAGTTTCTCACGAATTTTATATACGGGACCACCTGCCGCGCGGCGCCTAGTAGGCACCTCTCAAACTGCGTGGAAGTTGGAACATACGTATAAATAAATATTGTGAAAACAACCTTTGAGGACGCCGGCCAGCCATAAAGTAGCTTAGGTTTTATTAAGTTGATAAATTATTATTGAATGAAACTAATTTTAAACCCAATTTTATTAACAAAGTATTGATAAAGTTAAATACTCTTAAGTGATAAATTTGTAAGTTAAAAGTGATCAAAGTTATGAAACCTTATGTAAATAAAACCCACTCAAAGTAATATAAATCCTCTCACACACATGTATTCAAGTCAGATCCATTTAGTGCAACAATAGGCCTTCATCGATACATGCGCCTACGCACCGAATTCGAATGTCAATCGTAACAATCGAGCACGATTACCTGTCAGATAAAGGCGGGCGGAAAGCTCGAGGAAAGCGCCACAAGGCAATTCGAGTTGCGAAGGCTTTGACGGCCGCCGCCATTAGTCCGCCTTCCGCCAATCAGGAGAAAGGGGCGGAGCGATGCGCACGCGCCGCCTGCTACGCAAAAGTGATTCAGTGTAAACGCAGCTGTCGCTCCGTAGCCACGTATATTGGTTCTCGTTGCCCTACCTTCGTTTGTTTTTAATTATGAACTTTTTATGAGACTCTAGTTTATGTTTGTGTATTAGTCAACTGCGGAACGGTTTTATGTATTTTCGGAGACTGAATTGATGATGTTATTGTGAAGTGACTGTAGCTGTGACTTAAATTTTGGTGATTGTTTGTATCTACAAGATGATGATGGATCAGGCTCACTTCGGGGAGTATTTGTTGAGGCAGCAAATGTTGCACGCTGCGTCCCTCAGCGGCTTGCGTAAGTTGCATTTCTTAATTTAATTTAACGTAATATATTAAGTAATGTATACATTAGATACTAATTGCACTCTTAGGATTATTTTCCGCTCACAGACATGTTAATGGAGAAGTAATATATTTATCTACATCAAACGTACTGTCTTTATTTTTAACTCGTCGAGTACCGTCATTATAGACACAATTATAGAACAATAGGTACACCGGTGACCGCTTGGTGTTTGACAGTTTAATATGCAAATATCTCACTATTTACGTTTTGCATAACTTGATCTTTTAGTATGACCTGAAATATATTTATTCCCTACAAGGCATAAGGGAGGAGACTAAGATTTAAAGATAATAATTATAACATGTTATAACTTTATAAGTACTTGTTTAGTAATACGTTTTATAGCATGTCATACTATATTCAATCATATAACTACTTAATACAATTTAATCAATTTGTAGCAAGACTATGTCGTCACATTCTGGTGTCTGGAACCCGTTTCTCTAAACTATAACCGTCCGTGTTTGCCGTCAGCATAAATAATATCATAATGTATAATTTTGATCATACTGAGTGATAAACATATCAGATATTATATAGTTTATTTAATATATTGGTTACAGTTTTGAAAGTTGTTCTGTGATATTAATTCTATATTAATTATGTGAAAGGTTAATTTATTAATCAGTGTTGTGATAACGTATATTTATATGCCAATATATGATAGGGTTTTTAGGTATAAAATGTTATTTTGTCTTTTAATTGTGTAGTAAAATTCATAATGAACCAAGCGAGCTTTGTCACAATAATTTGAACTATTTTTAATAAACAACAAACAAGTTACAAATTATTTATAAGCTGTGCTATTAAAGCCTTATTTTATCCGTTAGGAATATCATAGAGGCTACCTCACATTAATTTGTAGGTGTTTTACACATATACGTATGTCCAGTATAAAATTATGTATTTTTTACTTTTATCTAAATTTATTTACTCTCTGAAGTCGGATAAAATTTTTTGATAAATAAAATATTACTCATAAACTAATCAGACCATGAAATTTAAATTATATGCCATTTAGAAATTAACTAGTACTGCGTAATAGTAAATAGTGCACACCTAGGTATAAACATTTCTTTACGGAATGAACGAGAAAAATGTATTGTAAAGTAAAGCATTGCTTTCAAAATTAATTAAACCCTTGCTTCATTTCAATTACATTCGACGACGAGGTTTATGCTGGTAACAAAATAAAAAGTTGCCGTTTTCATTCACAAAAACGTTACGAAGTTAATATAAAGTTACTACGTATAACCTCAATTAACCCTCAAGTAGCCACTTTCATAAAACTTAACAGCATTTTTATGACTTAGATTGAACTTATAACGACATTACACCTCATCATGCAATTTATTAATTTCTGAAAGAGCCGTAAAGAGCAAACCGATGTGACTCGATAATATTATTTATAATGAATTTTTAACTAATTAACGATACGCTAGAAAATGCTAATTAAGTGCCAATTAAAACAAAGTGTCAGTCGTTAACTTAGAATATAGCCATTATCAAGTTATTATAAATTGGTGTTTTAGTTATATCTTCAGTGGTGCTGTTGTAAAGTGTACTCTATTTTGCATATGTTTACAATAAAAATTGCAATAAAAATATGAAATATTAAGCGTTATTATGATAGATGGATTGACAGGTTTTTATGTTGATGTGTTCTTTGAGATTATGGTAATTATGTTTTCGATTGTCAGATTTATTGTTTTTTTTTTAAATTAAAGATTAAAGTCATTTGTTTGTTAGGCTGTTAGTGTTTTTATTTAAATTATGATAGATAAAAATCACATTAAAAACAAAAGTCAACTAGGCTTCTTTTAGAGCTTTTGTTCTTATCGTGTTCAGAAATTCAGATCCATTTTCCGTTTCTTTACATAATTATGCCTGAATACAGAAACGCCATTCAAGTTTAAGTCGCACTTAAGTATACAGTTCTGCCACTACAAATTCTTTATAAAATGACAGAGATGGCACGATATTTAAATACAACTTAAAATTGAGTAGACTTTCAGTATGCGGGTGTGAGTCGTTGTAATAGGGTAGATGCCTAATTTTCATTTTAATGTCCGTCTGGTAGATTATTTTAAATCATTAGACACGTATTTATTATTTTTCGAAAAAAGGAATACTTTCGACGACATATTGATTTGAAATATCGCGTGATGTCACTTCTATATGCATTTTATACGTAGGAATGACGTTTTAGCCCACACTCCTAAACTTTGATTCGTTTTATCTAAGTATTGTTTTATTATACGACAAAATAAAAAAATACCGAGTCTAATATTTTTTCATTACCTAACTTACGGACTATTTAGATTTTTAATTTTAATACCCTGTCATCATCTCTATTTAGAATATGACAGACTTACTTCTTTTTTTACCTAAAAATATGATAAAGCTTGTCCAGACGTTCACAAAAGTCGAACGGTGTTAGCAAAATAATTTACAATATTAACAACAAAATTCTTCCTAAACACATTCAATTAAATAATATATTCACCAATCACTACATAGTAGAAATCAAATTCGCTATCCGCCGTCTGTCTGTCCTTATGTAGGTATGCTTAGATCTTCAAAACTACGTAACGGATTTTGATGCGGTTTCTTTTAATAGATAGAGTGATTCTTATGTATAATATACCTAGTAGTTATTTTAACATAAGCATTGCACCCGTGCAAAGCCGGGGCTAGGGGGTAAATAATCGCTCGCTAGTAAACAATAAAACACTAACAATTTTTATAACTGAAGAAATATAATTAAAGTTCATAGGAACAACAAATACGCCTAACGTTACTTACTGCCTCATAGCGGTGCGGTGGTCTAACCAAACCATGTATAAGAATAAGGTTCTATCCCAATTCACTGCGACTGCGCTAAACAAATTATTTGATTAACACCGCTGAACAACAAAACTTTTGGTTAACAGTACCTATTATTTCTTATTTCTTCAAAGAAACAATGGACACATTCGTCATGACGTGAAACTTGAATGAGAACAAATAAAAAGTTCTTATTTAACGTTTATTCATGTTTTACTGTTGGTTGAGTGATTGTCACTTGGCTGCTGGGCTAGGGGTTTTGTGTTCGTTTCTTGCAAAAGGGCAAAGCGTTGATGGTTCTTTTTTTTTGAAAATTGTTAGTAATAGCTTTGAGTCTGGATTTGTGCCTTCTCACTTCGTTTTACATGGGACTATATATTATATATGTCCACTTCTTTCTTCGAGAATTAAAAAGCACATTTTACATGTAGAGGTATATTTAAATAAAATATTTGAAATGTCATTTTAGTATGCATTTCATTAAAGTTAAAGAATTGCACAATATTATAATTCATATGAATTAAACATAAACACATAACTGTGAATATGTTTTATACAGCAATAAATAAGATAATAAAACACTATTATAACAAAAACACACTTTTATCCATGCCTACTTAGTACAGAGCGCGTTGATGTCTTTTATATGAACGCTACGAAAAATTGTCGTAGCAGTGAAATTATTGATTGAAATACGAGTATAGCTTAAATTATTTAGTATTTACATATTGAACTATATTCATAAACCATTCTACATGATTCAATGAACCGGTGAAGTCAAATACACACGCACATTGTACTTTTTGTTCCCTATAACCAGTGCAACAATATTGACTCCTACCATGTCCTGATACTTTGTTGTTCACAACAGGTGTCATTAAACAACAACTTTTTACAAAAGCCTTTCTTTTAAAACAGGCCATAAATTACCCATATCTCCATCTAACAGCGCGAATGCCTTCGCATAAAATAAAGGAAGTGCGTCACATTATAAGTGTTGAGGTCCACGTGATACTAAGTATTTAGTAAGGTCGATAATGACGCCCTCTACCGTGCAGGCATCTACTCATTCATAATGTTTTTACTCCATTGTTTCAAGCGGTTGGGGATTAACGTCCCTTTTTGTGTAATTAGGTAGTAGGGTGAAAGGTGTGCTGTGAGGTATGATGGCTGCTATAAGTCAGGCGTCAAATGGAGTTTAGGTAGAAAATAATATTCTGTATTTGGTAAGTTTTTAGTTCTAGTATGTACCTACTAGCTGTTGCCCGCGACATGTTTCTATTTTCCAAAATACAAGTAGCTTATGTTACTCCTTAGGCCTGTCAATCGGATCAGCCATTTCACAGATTAGCCAGTACAAACAGATAGACAGACGGATAAAAATTAAAAAATATGCTAATTTGGCATATATACCATATGCATATTCACATGCGTGTAGTAAAAATCGGCTATTTAAATATTACAAACAAACATTACAATTTTATTTATCTGTACAGATTATGTGTGCAAAGTAGTGAAAGAATTTCCTAGATTCGAAATTGTCTAGATACTTTTCTCGTTAATCTACATAATAATAATATATTACAGTTAGATATAAAAATGGTTGATGTTAGGCATATGTGGCGGGTGTGCAGTGCCATAGAAAAAACTACTTCAAGTTGAAGATGATACTTTTTAATGCAAATATTTTTTTTTTGTAGAATAACTTTACGTACGCTATTAAATATTGATATATTAAAAAAATATTATAAAAACTGACTTCATACCTACATAACAAGTCTCCCTTTACAGGCTGCAAATAATTCTTCCACGCAAAGTAAAAGGGCGTCCATTAATTACATATTTTTTGTAAAATACCTTAAATTCTTAAAACTAAACACCCTTTAACACATTAATTTATATCTAAACATAAAAGGATAAGGTATAAAATCGTTTGACGTACCCAATATGCCACGTAGTACCTAGAACATTGGAGCGCACCTGCTCAAAAGTTATAAATGACTTGAGACTGTATGTCAGCACGATTAGAGTTTTAAATTGAATGTTGTACTTGTATATAGATGGTATATAGAAACATGTACCTACTCGAGTTCCTTATAGGTTATTTCGTCCAGATGTACCTACATCAGCTGTCCTTATCAGATATGTTGGAAGTCTACAGGCTTATTGATCAGTTTCACACATTTTCGACATTATCCTTTAAATTAATAGACCTTCATACATTGCAAATTGTAATTCGATAACAAGCTAAAATAGGTAATGAGGTGTATAAGTAGGTGATACATTGAATAATATGTTTATTTATGGCTTAGCACGTGGAAGTTACATTGAAGCTACATACGTGTCAAACATTCATTAAAATTGAATATTTTAGTACTTAATGATATTACTATAGCCTTATCCAATAAGGCACTAGAAACATGTAATTTACCAAAAATGTAGACTAAAATATTTGTGAATAAATTATTTATATCTGGCTTTCACACTCAACCACCATACACATCATTCTTTTCCATTATCAAACAATCCAATGGGACCTACCGCATTATTGCTCGCAGAATGGTGCTAGTGTAATCGTTTCGTTCTTTATCCAATAGGGAATTGGGATGATGACAGGTTATAAAAATTAAAAATCTAATTAGTCCATAAGTAATGAATAAATTTTAATATTAGACACGGTATTTTTTTGTTTTGTCGTATAATAAAACAATACTTAGATAAAACGAATCAAAGTTTAGGAGTGGGGGCTAAAACGTCATTTCTACATATAAAATGTACATAGAAGTGACGTCACGCGAGATTTCAAATCAATGTATCGTCGAAAGTATTCGTTTCTGTAAGAAAATAAAAAATACGTGTGTAATGATTTAAAATAATCTACCAGACGGACCTTAAAACAAAAATTATGCATCTACCCTATTAGCTAGTGTCACCATATAAGACGTTCAATATTTGACAACTGCTGTGATTGGCCTAAAAATCTCTTTCTACATTTGCACCATCTGGTGACCAACAATACGGTAGCACCCATTAAACCCAAGACCTAAAACTACAATTCTATACAAGATACGCCAAATCTCAAACCAACCAAAAAATACACTGCCGAATATTCCATTGAGTTTGAATCCATTCACGACGAGCCGAGATGATCGCATCCAGTAAAATATAATTGCTTGTTAAACGTCCAGAGGTACTGTCGACCCATCATGTCGTCAATGTCCTCTCGTCAAATTAATGTGGCGTCGTACGATAGGGTTTTTGTTTACGATTATAATTTATCATTATTACTATTGAATACATTGTTTTTGTATAATGCTACGTTGTACGCAGAGAGAGTTTGTTATCAATAAAGTGTTTTTTATTGTTTTATAGTAATCATATTTGATAGTTAAAGGGTTTTAGTAGCTGTAAGAGATAATGTTATAAGTAAACCAGCAAGTAAGAGGTCTATTCTTCATTCTTTACTAAAAGATATTACCCTTAGTGTTCAATACATGATGTTTCAAACGCGTCAAATAAAGTATCTATTGCAATGTAAATTAGATACAAAATCATCTGCCAAAAGAATAAAAAACCGCAAACACTACACAGGACATTACCGTTAACACAATAAACAGTGAAATAAATTAGCTTGCGTGACACGATTGCCACGAATCATTCACGACCTTATTAACATATTAATAAATACTATTTTACCCACCGACACGCTTTTACAACCGCTCGACCATTTTCTATAGAAACACTACTAATGAGGTAATACGACACAAACCTCTAAAGAACAGATACCATCTCGTATTATACGCATGTAATTTTCAAACTTATTCAATTTACAATAAAGTTTACAATCAAATGTTTGTGGTGACACGATTGAAGTGTGTAAGTTGTTACGATGTTTAATGTTGTTTTTTTATGAGAAAAGTTTGGCGACGGGCGCCGCGTACTGCGGATCAAAAGACCCGATGTCAAATTATTTGTATGCATTTCTTACGTTTGCGTTGTAAGTTTTAAATGATTAAATTTATTACAATGTTAGTTATAGACGTTTAGAAAATTAAGCGGCAATAAAAGACATTATTTCAATTATATTTACAATTATTGTAAAAGACTTGTCCAATATACAAGTCTTTGTTTGGGTAATAATTTCTTTTTTTATATCTGTTCAGAGTGTAATACTTATGAATGTGAATATCGAGCAAAATTTGAGTGAATAGCGATGACATACACTCTCTTTTACTAAATCAGATCATCCCTCCGCATTTATTACAAATCTCAAATGTAATAAAAGTCACTACTCTCCAAAAAATATTATTATACATTCTCATACACATCGGAAGGTACCGTCAAAAGAACCGCCCACACGTATAATAAATTACAATTTAAGTTCATGAATGATATTTTTTTGCAATAAAATATTCAGGGTAGGTGGCGTCACCGTCGTTGATTGCTTGATACGTTCTGTATGTCATCAGTTGTTAATTAAAGATGAGCGGATATCATATTCGGGGTATTAATATTGAAATATTGATAAAGGAAACGATAATTTTTCGAGTCGAACCTTGATAAGTCATTAATATGTATAAAACTTTGTCACAGCTAATAAACGGCTCGTCACGGATCTGGGTTTTGATGCACTTATTTCTTTTCTGATTGAAAACCGGTTCTTAGGGTTTGTTATATTTAGAATAAGGAAGAGAAATGTCTAATTTAAATCTGGAATTGTAACGTAAACTAAAATTAAAATTGTTATAATGATATCATAAAGATAATAAAGATGTTAGATACACTTATTAATGCTTATTTTAATAGTGAAAACATTTATGTTGTGATTATTTTTAACCGAACAATTTCTCAACTCAGATGATTCAGTACATATACAGAGAAACTTTGTTAAGTAAGACATCAAGGGACCTGCAAATTTGTGTCACTTATAGAGGTGGAACCCAGTGTCTCAGATAATCAGGTATAAATAAATATTTGTCTCATTTCAAAAGGGTTTCATTATTGAGGGTGCGAATACAGTTTATTTTATATGCAATTCTTAAAAGAAACAATGTGTTATGTGAACATTATAAATGTATATAAAATTCAGTTCCTGTCTCAGTCATAGAGGTAATTATGATGATAAATCCAAAGCACAAATCCCAGATAAAGAATAATGTTTTTTCCGACTAACAGAAGCCTTAATGTGTTGGGGATCTCAATGTGAGTTCCTGTTGTGGAGGTTTCTCACTTATCCAGGTCCCACTTAACCAAGTTTCATTGTGTATTACGAATTTCAATCCTTAAACTACAAATTATATCTTTTAAACTGTCTAACACCAAGCGGTCACCGGTGACCGCAACCTATTGTTCTATAATTGTGTCTACAAAACCGGTACTCGACGAGTTAAACCCCGACAAATTATACAACAAAGAATAACAAAACAAACATATTATTATATGCTTTTATATTCATGGTTACTCTTATCGCAATAACCTTTCTGTTAAACATTGTTATTCCGTGAAGATAAAATCAGTTGTCATGCAAATTCATATAAGTACTAATTAATGTATCACTATTATCTTAAACAATCAGATTACAAAATTCTAGTATTGATTGTCGCAACCTTGGAAAGATGTTTTGGTTAATTTTATAATATACTAGCGACCCGCCCCGGCTTCGCGCGGGTGCAATATGCATGTATTATACATACAAACCTTCCTTAAGAAAGAACCATTCTATCTATTTAAAAAAACCGCATCAAAATACGTTGCGTGCAGACGACTATAGCGACTTTGTTTTATACTATGTATTGATATACATAATTTAAGAACGTTTCCAATAAACATTCGACGCTTATCTTATCTGTAAATGAATAAGAAACAAATTAATTCATAAAAATTAGTTTTGTTTATTACCATTGACGCATGTTTTGATTTTACATTATTAATGAGATTTATCTAGTGGAGATCAGTGTATTGTTTTAGCAATTTTATATTTATTGATTCTTAACAGATATTTAAAAGTTATGTCTTCCGAGTTTCATAGCACTGTGATACGGACGTAAACAACACATCAATAAAATTCTCTTAGTTTTAAAACCTTCTTCAAACTGTAGTGGTTATTGTAAAACTACTTCATACTAATCATTAATTATTTTATATTCATATATTAATATTCACATATATTTAGTATGCGTAGGTTATTTATTTACATAAAAACAAATGTTTTTTCTATATCGTTTTTTTGTTGTTGTTTATATTATTGTTTATTCGTTTGACTACTCTTTCTGTTTGTGTAAATGGTGCATCATGCCTAATAGCGAATAAATTATTTTTCTTTCATACTTTTCTTTTTCTCTTATAACAAATATAAAATGTTTTTGTGAACAGAACACCGCGTGGGTGCGGATGCCGAACCGCCGGCTTGCGAGGCGCGCCTGCTCAATGGCGACCTCTGGCGGCGTTTCCACGACATCGGCACTGAAATGATCATTACTAAGGGAGGAAGGTGAGTCTAGAATAATATTATTTAAGTATTTGACATTTTAGTAAATAATATAAATTGGCTCGTTTAATATAAACTGCGTCGTTGGCCGAGTGGTCGTAAATGCGACTGCCGAACAAGGGGTCTCAGGTTCGATACCCGAGTCGGGCAAGGTATTAAAAAAAAATCTTAGTAGTAGCACGGAGTCTGGAAATGTGCCCGATATATGGCAATAGGCTCACCCCCTATTACATGGGACTCATAACGTAAATAGTGAAAAGTGGGTGTTACATTGTACAGTGGCATAATGTAAGTACACATCTGTATGCTCCTTCGGGGATAAAAAGGCGTGATGTTATGTTTATGTAAATAGTTAATATAAATTAATTAATTATAATATACTGCATGATTTTATACACTATTCCCGGCGTTTTAAAGCATAATGTTAATATTTTATGCAATAAAAACTTGCACACAAAACAAAAAAGAATGGTAGACTTTGGAGGATATGCAAAGGCATCGTAAATGTGATAAATATGACAGTTTAAGGAAAACATAATATTTTTATGCCTCAGCTTTATATCACGGCCTTCTTCAATGCGATATGATTCAGACATTGTCTCACTGATATAGGTCACAAGGACCAAAGTAGTTAGTATAGTTGTTGTAGGTTTTTTTTTAATCGTCGAATGACGGCTCCCGCCTTGGTGAGGCGGGAGGGAGTGTCAGACTCTTACTGACCAAACCACCCCGTTCCTTCTCCTGCACGTCGAGCCGGAGCCCCGGTAACCCGTTAGGTTCTCCGCGACAGTTGTTGTAGGTTTAAAACAATAAAGCCAGCAAGTACTATAGTTTCTTTTGCTCTAAAGTTTATGAACCTCTTCGGTAAGCAGCCTCGACAATCATATCATCAATTAATCACAATTGACTAATGTACAAAGATAGTGAATGAAATCATTATTTAATTCTATATTTGTTAAACGTAAAATACTTCATCTACGTAAAAGGGGGCCTCGAAATTAATTTACGTCACACATAGCGCCGCCGGCAAATATAATAATATGATTCTTAAGTGAATTGTGCGGTAGGTCCCTGCCATGGTCATTAACATAGGTCATAACGAATTAAATTGCCTTCATCCGTAATCCATATTAAACAATCGCCCTTCAATTTCATCATAATCGAATTAGCAGGTCCTGAGAACGGATCACATAAATATAATTACTTCCCATCTATGGCGGGAGCAGTACACACGGTTGTGTTTGCGTCATACGTTTTTGTATCAACACAAATGGTGTGGTATTTAAGTTTCTTAGCATTTTAATTTCTACAAAACATTGTAACTGCAATTCCTAAAAGTTTACCATAAAATTGGCAAATAACAATGTTTGTAATTGTTTTCCATGTATACATGCTTAGTATTGATATTTAATTGAGAAATATTTCATAATTTGCACCTGTCTCGGCTATTAACGACGTTTCGTGGGAAGGAGAGTGTCGCGCGCCGCCCTCCGCCCGCCCAACCCTGCGCATGCGCCGGTGACAACGCGACAGTGACAACGCGACCTCGTCGCCCAACGACATTTATAATTCATTGAAAAAACTACGCCTAACTATTGACTCAATTAAACGATGCAGCTGTCGGAATCCAAGAATCGAATACACAAAAACATATTACTTGTAATAAATTACAAAATAATAACAAAAACTTAACGAAAACCCATTAGGACTGCTGAATCTGACGCGAGGCTTGTTAACGGATAATTTGGGAGACGGGGCCGGACCTCCGTCATAGACAAAACAAACAGCTGCCCCGGCAATTTGTGCATTTCTCTAAATGGCCGAGCACAAATTACACCTTATTATAAGCTTGTTTGCTTTACGACGGTACCCCTACAATTATATTTTTTTCGTGATCGATAATGTGGGTGCGAGCAGTGAAGAAATTACACAGTCGTCGCGATCTCGGCGCCTCCGCCCTTCCTGCGAGCGAGACCCGCGTGGTGGGTCCGCGAGGCCGCTCGTTACTCGCTCGCTCTCACTGCTCAACATCGGCAACTCAAAGGCCCGGAACATTACACGTTGTACTTACAATTGCTGTCTATGTTTCTCACAATCAACCAACAACAAGATTGACTCGTTAGATATTAATAATATTTTTGGATACGTAATTGTTTCACGGTTAAGAGCGGAGGCCGACCACCATCGCCGCGCGCCGCCAAAAGAAAGTTCGATCAATAATGAGCATCACGTCCGTTCGACTTCTGACGGAATTAAAAATGAAAATATTCCGTAATTAATGGCGTGTAATTAGCGTTCGAGGACCGCATCGCGTCGTCGACCACTCTCTTATTAAAATGACCGGTAAAAACTAGACGCTGCTCGCAAACGAATAGCTGTCGTGCGCGGTGGCTGTAGCGGCGCGCCTGCGCACTGTCCCGGTTTTTGCGCGGGCTGATAATTAGCCGGGTTCATCTGTGCTCCTGTCATCTCCTACACGTTTTTTTGGCTCGGCCGCCGACGCAGACCACCGCGCGCCGCCGCCCGGCTAACATTCCGATAATTTACCGCTTTATCCAGCGGTTGGTGAATCTCGTTAGCTTAGCTGGCCGCGGCCGTCTAGAGGTCACTTTTGTTTGTTTTGTATTAACGATGCTTCGTGAGAGAGGCCGGGGGCGCGCCGGCGCCGACCCTGGCGCCATACGAATCGAAATGGGTCAAAAATATTTCATGCATTTCTCGTATTGAGCACTAGCCGAGGCGGTGCGTGCGCGCAGTAATTGAGTTATTCTCTAGGAGTGAGCAATGAACACCGCGATGTCAAGAACTGGTAACATTGGTCAGTGTCGTGTAAGGTGTAACGTAATGCTTTTAGTTGCTGTTCAAACAGTGTTAAAAGCTGTTCTTGTATTCTTTATCTGGTCTGGTTCGCGGAGCGGGGCTGGGTTTGGTGAGTTAATTGTTAACGCAAACAGGGGATTTGGGCGGTTCGTTTGTGCAAGCGGGGTCGAGCGGCGTGTGTAGTCGGAGTTAACACCTGCCGCACTCGGCGGCCATGCTCAGCTATATGTGTTAACATTGGATCTGTCTGTGTACCAGCCATCTTAATTTTACCACCTGTGAACTGTAAATTGCTTCGTATATAGGAAGGTTCTGCGGTGTTATGTACTCCAATGTTTACTCTTCAACAGGTTCTAACTGTGTTCTCACTTACAATTGCTTGTTTTTAAAACGAATGACGTTGGGAACATTACGTAACGCGATTATCCCAACCTGTATGAAGACGATACATGGACACTTAAAATGACATCAACAATTAAAAACCAACAATGGTTGTGTCAACATCACAAGGTCGGACAACAGTCGCGGGCCTAACGCAATAATAAACTGGATAGATACGTAGCACGCTGTCGGTGACAAGTCCCATCTGTTCTACTGCATGTTCAGAGATAATACTTAACCCTCAATAATCGGTGTACAAACAAACACTGCTTCGAATAGAGTAGGTTATTTATTTTTTCTCAAAACCGAAATATGACAAATGGGCGAGTCAGGCAGCGGCCGCCGGCGGCCGGCGCACATCGCTCGCGTGTCGTCGCGCGGACCTCCCGCCATTTTAAAAACAAACACACAACACAAAAACTCGTTATTTATTCTTGTGTTATTCGTCGGGAAGGGCGCGCCCGAATTCGCTTGAAAAAATCATAAGTTATAATTAAAAACGTCTGCGCACACTCGGCTACACTAGCGCAGCCCAAGCTCAACGCTCGAGCCGTCAGAGCACGCAGTTACGGACTAGCATTGCTCACAACGATTTGTGAACGTGAATTACGCCCGTAATTGACGTTAACCGCCGACTTTTACGAGATAAAGTCTAATCACATCTCGAATCTACGTCAAGAAATCATATCTAACAAACGAGCGTAAGCTCATTCCATCGCTTGTTTTAACAGAAATACCGATTAATTGATTCGATCTGTGTCGTAATTAAAATGGGTGATTAGGTTGCGCGGGGAGCGGCGCCGGCGCCTCAAAGCGTCGCCGGCAACATTCCTTTTGTTTTACCACGGGTCGTTTGTCGCCTGCGCGGGCTGTGCGCTGTGCGCGAGCGGGACGTGCGCGGGCGCCGACCGCCTGCAGCGCGCCGGCCGCCCGCCGCGCGCCCCGCCCCTACCACGCACCACTAATAATCAGATTATGACAGTCGCCGTCTTCCGATGCACTCCACTGTACTCGTCACAGCGTCACTCCTCCAGCTCTCGCGGCCCGCCACCACTTGACGTTACACATTCTCTAGCCGCGCACCGACGTGCCAGATTGAGAGATATCGCAGCTGCTAGCGCTGCTCTCCAGCCGAATTGACATAATGCCTCTTTGTTTTAGACTCCACTAGCAGCGGGAGGTTACAGTGTCAGGGGGAAATTAATGGAGGTTCGATCAGTTAGTTAAAACATTTGGCCTTACCTGCAACCAACATACGTTTTGCTCATTAACTCACCTAGACCACTTCTGCCTTAACGTGTATGGTCAAAATATTTTAGAAGCCATCACATGACTCGTTACTGATACAACTTCTCATGCCAACACCATCTGCCATGATGTTCCTTTTATTAAAAGTAAAAAGTTCATACCAAACTGCTTACTATATCAACGGATTTGTAAAGACTATAATTTGAACAAACTTTGTAATTTTATCGAGAAAGTCCAGTAGGTGTCGATTAAAAGTTCATAAACGTCAAAACCATTATATATATTTATAAAGTGAAGTGCAATTACGGTACCTAAACATTAGACCCCCTTTAACTTACTGCACGACAAAGTAAGTTGTTTGTACAATTTTAAATTGATAGAAAACGTTTACAGTAATGACGGCGTCGATGAAACTTTTACAAAAAAAATTGTCGCTGTAAAACGTAACGTCATTGTATGTAATGGGTAATCCCGGATAGAAGGACCAGGAATCTGAAGCACGCGCCGAATAGTCGCCGCCTTCGACCGATCATATCGCAATATCTCTTGGGAAC